TCCCTCCCCGCCCCTCTCTCTCTCTCTCTCTGGTAGCCCCCCCCCGCCTTCCCTCTCTCTCAATCTCTCTTTTTTTGGGTCTCTCACACTCATAACAATAAATGAAACAAAACTTTCACTCTCTCTCTCTCTCTCTGTTGTGCGAGCTCTTAGTCTCATTGATTTGGCTACCTTAGGGCTGGGTTCCCGGCGCCCACGCTGTAGACAATTGAGCTTCCTGAACTGCACGTCTCCACAAACACGTCCAGATTCAGGCGTTGAGGTAGCTCAAGGCTGCCAGTGGGACTTGGCCTCTGGCCTCCTTTTTGAGTTGTGAAGCCCTTCAAGGGCCGCTTTTCGAAGGAAAAAAAAAAAAACAAAAAAAAACACGGGTTCAAACAGTTCATGGGTCTGCCAACGGAGTAGGCCCGTTGGCTATCGTTCCAGTTTTCACAGATGCCCCGAAGGATCCCATTTGTATTCTCGGGGCAGCGCCGTCGGGATTTTCCGTGCTGGTCGGCGCTGCACTGAAAGGACTACCAGGCAGGTGGAGCAGATACGAGCTGCGCGCAAACGTGCCTGCGGAAGTGCATTCTCTCTCTCCCTCTCTCTCTCTCTCTCTCTCTCTCTCTCTCTCTCTCTCTCCTCCCCCCCAACCCCTGCCCCCTCTCTGTGCCTGCGGTGTTGTGCAGGAAGATGTGGAGAGTTCCATTCACGCTCGGCGGGCGTGCGGCGTGGCGACGTGCGCCCTGTCTCTCACAGTGAGGTCATCAGACCAAACGAAGGATGTGAAATAAAAAGAAGAGAGATCCTCTTCCCCAGCCAAGAGACGAGCGCGAGCAACATCCTGTTCAGGTCATCTTTACTGAAACGGCGATGGCAAGAACAACGCTTGGGAGCTGGGTTCCTGCCTACACAGCATTCCACATAGTGTTACTTAGATGAGAAATGCCGGCGGGAACAAGTGGCACTTCTCTCCTATCTACCTCACAGCATTCTACGTTGTTTTGCTATCCAGGACCCGGGGAAGTCGAGCGCGTTGAGGCGGGAATAGATCAACCACGTGAAAGAGGCAAGTCGAAAAGCTGAACGACAAGCTGCATGACATGGAGATGGAGAAGAAAGAGGAGGAAGTAAAATGTCGTCTCGAATGACGAGCTCAAGGAGATGATCAACAAGCGGGATTAGATGAAAGCATTGACACAAGAAGAGAAAGAACAAGAAGCTTTCTGCAAAGGGGGAGACAAGCTGCAAAGAGGAGAGAAGAAGAATATGCGGGGGAGACAATCGAGAAGAGGAAGAGGAAGGGGAAGGGGAGGGGGATGCTGATCAGAATCGTGGCAAGAAGTCCTTGGAACTCTCGATCGTTCGATCTGTGGTAGATCCGGCGACATGGACGAACCGATCGATCCCATCAATTTCGACGTGATTGTTTTGGGTACCGGATTGCCAGAGTCGATTCTTGCGGGAGCCGCCGCCATAGCCGGGAAGAAGGTGCTGCACCTGGACTCTGCAAGCAGCTATGGAGGCCACTGGGCCAGTCTTTCCGTCGACTCTGTGCGAGAATGGGCGGCGGCGATCAGTCAGGCCGATGATGATGATGATGATCTCCATCAGCTCTCTGCAGCGTCTGCGCCCGCCTCCGCAGGTACTCGCCAGCCGGTGATGATTGCTTCGCCGGCGGTAGTCCGGTCGGGATCTCGGGTGGGCGGCGGCGATCCCGAGGACCATAGCGAACCAGACGGTCAACGCGCAGCAGCCTCAGCAGATTGCCGTCCAGCGGAAGAAGGAGACGGCGAAGCGACCAGATGCGCAGCATCAGGGGAAGCGAGAGAGAATGGGCAAGGTGGCGGCTATGAAGGCGGCGGCGGCGGCGGCTATGGCGAACATGGACAAGCGCCGTCGGCAGAGAACAGGGTAATACCGCCGGTCAACGACGGCGGTGATTACGTCGATGGTATCGCGAGATCCGACGGTGAGGGTGTGGGTTATTCTGAAAATAGTAGCCGAGGTAGTGCCACGTGGGAGGCGCTCGATCCCTCCCTGGAGCCCCTGCCTCTGCGGGTGATGGGGGGTGTTGAATGCGCAGGCAGGGACCCTCTTTCTATCTACACGGACGTCAAGGTGTACGGCCTTGGGGAGAATGACCTCCCTTCCTCGGAAGTGGTTAGTCGCTATTCCAGGCGTTTCCTTCTGGACCTGGCTAGCCCGAAGATGTGCTTCTGCGACGGACCTATGGTGGATATGATCGTACGGTCCGGCATTCATAATTACTTGGAATTCAAGGGCTTGGAAGGCACCTTCGTGTGGTCTGGGGTAGCTGGTGGGTCGGAGGTGGGAGCAAGCAGAGGAGGTGGGGGGGGAGGGGGAGGGGGGGGAGAAGGTAGAGTCGATGAGAGATTGATTCTCGTTCCTGCTTCGCGGTCCGACGTGTTCAGGGATCGAACCCTAGGCATGTCGGAGAAGAGATTATTGATGCGCTTTTTCAAGAACGTGTCGGAGTACATGGGGGAGAAGGAGGGTGGTGGTAAAGATGGACAGGAAGGGGGAGAGGGAGAGGGTGGGGCCGGGGGGGAAAGAAGCAGCAGCAGAGACAGAAGGGAGTCCGTGAGTGGCGGTGAGCTGGCGTCGCAAGATCCCGATGCACCGTTCGTGCACCTGCTCAGGCGGCAGAGATTGTCGCCCTCTGTTTGTCGGTTTGTCCTGTACGCCATCGCAATGATTAATGACGATCAGGAGGAGAATGGTGATGAGGAGGAGGGGGGAGGTGGACAGGGAGAGGAAGAGAAGGAGAGAAGTAGTCGTAGTAGTAGTAGTAGTAGTAGTAGTAGTAGTAGTAGTAGGAGGAGGAGGAGGAAGGTTGTGTCGACGAGAGAAGGCCTGGACGCGATGTCGCTCTATCTCTCCTCCATTGTGAAGTTCCCTCAATGCCGGGGCGCTTTCCTTTATCCCTTGTATGGTGGAGGAGAGCTGCCTCAAGCTTTCTGCAGAGTAGCGGCCGTGAAGGGAGCTCTTTATGTCCTTCGGCGATCCTTACACTCCATCCTGGTAGATAAATCCACTGGGATGTACCGGGGGTTGAGAACGTCTTCAGGCCAGCTTCTGTTCAGCGATTATCTCATTGGAAATCCGATTTTCCTGCATCCTTTCTTGATGAGTCCGGTGCAGGCACGAGGAGTATTAGGGAGAGGAGGAGCAGGAGGAGGAGGAGGAGGAGGGGAAGGGGGAGGACATTGTCGAGGGGATGGAGGAGCAGGAGGAGGTATAGAGGGGGCAATTGGAGGAGGAGGAGGAGAGGAGGGGGGGGACGAGGGAGCAGGAGAGGAGAGGGGAAACGAGGGCGCAGGAGAGGAGAGGAGGGGGAAGGAGGGCCCAGGAGTGGAGAAGAGGGGGAACGAGGCAGTCGGCGAGGAGGAGGAGGGGGAATACATAGCCCGTTGTCTGTGCATTACAGATCGGTCTGTCGTGGGAAATCTATCTACGGCGCTGATCGTTTTCCCGCCAAAAAGCGTGGTGATTGGAGATCCCGATGGGAGGAAGAACAGCTGCTCTATCCGTGCTTTGCAGCTTGGTCCGCGGACATCCGTTTGTCCGGATGGTACGTATGTGGTCCAGTTGTCGGTCCGGTGCGACGAGCGGACTTCCGCGGAAACGGCTCTTCGACCAGCTGTCGAGTCTCTATGGATCCATCCCGGTCCCGACCTCGACCGGCGTCAACGATCTGATGACGTCAACGCTTCTCAGAGGCTGTCGCCTTCTCCTTCGTCTTCTCCTCCTCCTTCTCCTCCTCCTCCTCCTCGTCCCATCAACGATCTGATGACGTCAACGCTTCTCAGAGCCAGCGCAACAGGCCAGACTGCCGATGACAGTCCATCTTCGTCATCCTCAGAATCGCTCTCCCCGCCGTCCGTTCTCCAGCGATCTTCTCCTCAGCCGCCAACTTCTCCATCTTCCGTCCTGTCTTCTTCAGCCTTGATGACCTCACTGTCGCCTCCGCCGCCATCGCTGGAGCTTCCGCCTCCCGCGGCCTCGGCGGTGGGATTGGCGGAGGCAGTCGCAACAGCAAGCAGACACGTGTCAGGAGGACACGCAGTGTCACGTGGTTCGGGCAGCCAATCAACAGGGAGGATAGAATCGGGGACATGCAACGGAGGAGCTGGAGGAGGAGGAGGAAGAGGAGACGTAAGGTCGGCGGGATCTCAATCGGCGCAATCGCGGCTTGGGGGAGGGATAGACGACGAGGGAGGGAGAGAGGAAGCGGAAAGATATCGGAGGCCGAGGGTTCATTGGTGTGTTTACTACAAACAACGAGTTCTTGATGGCTATGGCGATGAATTGGAACGGGGTGAGGGAGGAAATGGAGATGAGCCTGAGACGAGTTTGGGGAGGGAGAGGCAGGTGGTACCTCCCAATGTGGCGATATGTCCTCTGCCAGATGCATCGATCGATTACAGGTGGATGATGACATCGACGGAGAAGGTGTTCAGCAGGTTATTTCCCGGCGAGGCATTTTATCCAGGGGTGCAGGAGGGCGGCGGAGGGAGCAGCTTGGAGGAGGGAGGGGAAGGAGGTTCTCAGATTGAGGAAGATGAAGAGACTAGGCGATTGTCGGAGATTCTGGGCAATGACGTTCACAACAGCAATGGAAACCTCAGTGAAGGAGGGAATATGCCAACAGCGAGTGAAAAGGTGGATGAGATGAGTGATGGAGGACAAGGAGGTAATCAATCATAATCAATCATCGGAAATGATTGATCGATGATGGTCGACGCGATGTCCAGACACACGCACAAAGCACAGCGCCGGGGTTACAGAGGGGAGAGAGAGAGAGAGAGAGAGAGAGAGAGAGAGAGAGAGAGAGAGAGAGAGAGAGAGAGAGAGAGAGAGAGAGANAGAGAGAGAGAAAGAGAGAGAGAGAGAGAGAGGGAAGGGAGAGTGGGTGCCATACGAGGGGACGAGATCTACCTCGTTGCCGAGAGAGAGAGAGAGAGAGAGAGAGAGAGAGAGAGAGAGAGAGAGAGAGAGAGAGAGAGAGAGAGGGTGGCATACGATGTGACGAGATCTACCTCGTTGCCGATTAGTGGTTCTTTTCCTCGAAAGTGCATTTTTAATCTTTTGGAATAGATAGAAAGGCGCCGCCGCTTGTTTTCAATGGACAGGAGTTGTTAGTGAGGCGACACTTACCTACTCCTCCTCCTCCTTCTCCTCGTCTTCGTCGTCCTCCTCCTCCTCCTTTCCTCCTTCTTAAGCTGTAGTCAATGATGATGGATTAGGAAACATAAGAAGTCACTGAGTTGGAAGTTTGTCGAGGGTAAGAGAACCCATCGCCGTTTCTTTGTTTTGTGTTCTTTTGGACTTCGAGAGTTTTCATGCAGGCGTACGAATACGCTTCACCATCGGTCCGCCAGCAGCGCTCACCCATCCACGGGCGAAAAGCAAGGAACAGTGATAATTGGTAGAGGGCCGCTGACCAACGAAGGATATAGGAATGCTTGTACCCGTGGGGAGGACGCGTGTATGCCTTCGCTTTTTGCGAAGCAACATCCAGAACTTTGATAATTTGCAAAACCATGGGATCTGCACATGATGATATGCCCGAGTAATTCACTTAGATTACGGAGAGCGGCCCCTACAATCCTGCCTCTGGCATGTTGTGTCATCACATTCTCTTTCTCTCTCTCTCTCTCTCTCTCTCTCTCTCTCTCTCTCTCTCTCTCTCTCTCATGTGTCTGTTTCTGTGTGCATGTGCGTGTGCCTGTGTCGAGTAGGCAACGTGGGACGTTCGGCTCAGACAAAGATGCGCGCCGTCCATCAGTCCTCGCGAGCGCACACACGCACAAAACACCGTGACTCTCTCTCTCTCTCTCTCTCACGGTGTTTTGTGCGTGTGTGCGCTCGCGAGGACTGATGGACGGCGCGCATCTTTGTCTGAGCCGAATGTCCCACGTTGCCTACTCGACACAGGCACGCACATGCACAGAAACAGACACATGAGAGAGAGAGAGAGAGAGAGAGAG